ACTCACAAAACAAGCATAAAAATCGACTTAGATAGGTGGGCAACAAGAAAGGAAATTCGACGAGAAAGGAAGGAGGAGAAAAGGGCAGGCGATAATGCCACATTCCCCAAATGCCGCTTGATCTGGGCGGGAGACGCGAAACGGAAGCCGCATGGGCCGCATGGGCCGCTTGATGCCACTCAACACTTTGAACGTTTGGACCGGCTCCCCTGGACCACCCCTTATGCCAGCCGGTTCAACCGGTTGGCTTTGTTTCCCACATCCGTTCGGGAAACTACCACACCCGTGTCAGTCTCCTAGGGTTGAGAGAGTTTCTACCTCATTCGTCAAAGCCTCTGGTCCCTTCTCTCTTAATCCTAGCGGCACCAGGGTCCCACTGTCAGCCAGAGCATCGAAGAAGTCAGTACCACTTGCGTGCCCATGTCTCTATCAATCTATGCTCCTGAGACTGTGGAGCGAGAGTAGCCTGAATCTTCCCGTCTGGTGGTGGAGCTGGTGGTATGTTGTTGACTGCGAGATCCTGACATCCTCTATGGCACAACTGTCCTATCTCCGGAGCTAATGCCTTAGTCATCTCATCCCGTGTCATCACTAGAAATGACCCCACTAATGTCGCTCTGCAGGTAAAAGTTCCAGTGATCTTGGGTTATGTCAAAGGGATTAGAATGATGTATTTCCCCTCCTTGGTAAATGAGTATGCATTTCTAAATCCATTGTGCTGAGACATCTCGTAAAACTGTCACGATCATCCCAATAGAAAGTGGCAGGTATCCACATCACACCACACGTGGTCCTGCAACTGACCTTCAATCAAGAATTCTACCAAGTATCTCCGGTCGATGTTGATCCAATTATACTTTTTCAGCCATGTCAGTGAGTACGATTTTGAGTGCCTCTGAGTCGTGAGTCTCGATTTCTCTACTATTTGAGTTGAAACCACATTCTTGCTGCTCCCGCCATTAATGATAAGATTGCATATCTTTCCTTTCACTGTGCAATGAGTGTAGAAAATATTGTGGCGCATCTACTGTGGATCCATCATGTCCTCAATATGTAGAATCTGCCGAATCACAAGTGCTTCTCTCTCATCTAATAGAAGTTGATACACCTCACCACATTCCTGAGCTTTTTCCTCTCCGCTAATCCCTTCCACGGCGCCCTAATCTGAGCTAGAGGCTATGTGGTCGTAGCCATGGCATCGGTAACATTTCCTGGCCGCTACGGTGTTGGAAGAGCCATCTTTCTCCTACTTCTTCACGCTCTGATTCGGAGTATCACTCCCTTGCCTGAGCTTTGCTTATGTCTCCCGGTATACTTTTGTCGGTTGTTGTAACTGTGGGAGATTGTCAGTCTGATGATTGTTGCCTGAAAAATGACTATTGTCTAATCTGTTTCTGCTGCCTCTCCATCTTCAGGGTTAGTGTCTTAACATTCCAAGTGATGAATAAGACTATAGTTGTACCACATCACTGATAGTTGGCTTCAGGCACATAACGGGCTATATTGTGTTGCTCTGATTCGACCAAATCACACCTCATCTGCAACTGATCAAACTGCTCTGTGAACTCTTCTATTGATAGATTCCTCTGCTGTATGTGGTGGGGTCTCAGAAAAATATCTTGGCGGTAATGGGGTGGGGGGTATTTCATCTGTTTTGCTTTCATCTTCTCCCACTTGGTAAACTTATCGCAACCCTTTCTTTTCCTCTGCCTCTATAAGTTCTTCCACTACAGAGAAGCACTATTCTTCAACTTGATGACCACTAATTTGACCCGTCTATCCTCTGCCACATCTTTATAGTCGAAGATTCACTCAACCGCCTGTAACCAATCAATGAATTCCTCAGGACTCCTTCGAACTCTGGTAGATCTACCTTGATGTCGAAGTCTATGTGTCCTCCAAAAGACATCTTCTCTTTGTGAATCTCCCACTGAGGGAGATTCAAATATCCTATACTAAGCCTCCTCTGATACTGGATTCCAAAATATTGTGGTCTACCTTCTTCGTCGTTGAAATTATCCCTATGAAAGGGATTCAGATCCTCATTTTGTTATCCTATTCGACTCTCCCAGATCGCGGTCGAAGGTAACTTCTTCCTGTGTTAATTCTTCAAACTCTGCAAGCCGTTATTGAAGGTGACGGAGCTCTCGCCATATCTATTTGTGGATAAGCACATGTATATCATTGGTGACCTGGCTAGGAATTAAGGAATAGGAAAAAAAATTTAGTTTATGGTGGATGCTAGGACGCAATGGAAAAAAATGGTTTATGTTGCTAATCCCACTACGTGGGATCAAAGACTTTGTTGTTGGTGGTGGTGGTGGTGGTGGTGGTGGTGGTGGATGCTAGAAAATCCTAGGATCGGACTAGAATTGAACTAACTTTGATACCAAATGATACCAAAATTAGGTGAAATGTGGAGAAAACACGAAAACAAACTTTTATTAATTTAGAAATAGGGTTACAATATGACAAACGGGAAAGAGGAATACAATAACAATCCAACCCCCGATTAGGACCGAAAGAGAAGATCTGAGGGCGGTGATGATGTCAGCAAGATGACGAGGGGGAAAGGGGGAAGGGTTGGGGGTTGTAGGGTAGTTTGGAAGACTGTGGAAGTGTGGGGGTATGGCTAAAAGGCTGGACAACAAGTAACAGAAGTCTGGACAGCAGGTTCGGCGACTAGATAGCAGGTTACTGGGCTAGACAGCAGGCTTGGAGGGTTTGGACAGCAAGTTAGATAGCTGGAAAGTGGGTTGCAAGTGGTTGGGGAAGGCTTGGAGTGGTCGGCGACTAAAGTGACTGGAAAAGACGGGCTAGGAAAGATAAAAGGGGAAATTACGTCACCACCTTGGAATATGATACAGCTGGAGCACCACCATCACCTCAAATACAACCCTACAAAAGGGAAGAAGACTCACCAAAGGAAATCTAAAAAGCATATATATCAAAACTAACTCTAAACTCAAAAAACAAAAATATAAATGGACCTAGCTAGGTGGGAAACAAGAAAAGAAAGACGACAAGGAGGAGAAAAGGGCAGGCAACAATGTCGCCTTCCCCAAATTCCGCTCGATCTGTGCTGGAGACGTGAAAGGGAAGCCGCACAGCCCGCTTGATGATGCTCGACACTTTGGACATCTGGACCGGATCCCCTAGACCGTCCCCTATGCCAGCCGGTTCAATCAGCTAGCTTTGTTTCCCGTGTCTATGCGGGAAACTACCGAACCCATGTAATTCAGTATTTACAACACAACAATGATAGATAAATCTTAATTTTTTACTTGATCTGAATTACATTCCATATCTACAAAAACATTAATAGTCCACAATAAAGAGGCACATATGGTGAAATTCAATCGAATTGTAGCATCAAAGCACTAAACTCCATGCTATAACTCAAGTAATTCTTGAATTACTAGTTGAAGTATACATCAAGTTGAAGTATACATCAACATGATTTCCTCTACTTATTTCTTTATGAATAATTCTGGATAAGATGAAAGAGCTCTGTTTTATAACAATTCATGGTGGCATATTATAAGTAACTAAAATCATTGCCAAATGATGCAGGCACTACTCATAATATTAAATGAATTAAAACCATCATCAACCAAACCAATGCAAACATTATATGGATCTGAAGAAAATTTAAGAAATTGTAATTCAAATAATTTCCAGCCTTCTCCATCATTCAGCTGTCGTAACTTACCATCTTTATTTTTGTGTTTAACATGCCAAACCATCTCTGCTTCAAGATTCTTTGATTTGAATAACCTCCATAATTTAGGAATCAATGAAAAATATCGATCATTTTTTGCTGCCTTTATGTAAGTTTTCTTTCCTCCACTATTATTTATTTTGCTAGTTTTGTCCCATCTCAACGAGCCACGAGTATCACATAAATCCTAATTAGATTTCTCTTTCCAAAATAATATGCAATCATTATGAAATGCTACTATCATTAAATATCTAAAATTGAATGCTCAACCTTTTTTTCGCCTCATATGTGTCCGTAAGCAATGAAGTATTATCGGTGAAGTCTTCCACCAATAACTCTAGCAACATATTAGAGGATTTTGTAGTTCAAGAGTGTAAAGACTTTAAATGAAATAAGTGTAATGTAAAAGATAACATAGTGGTATTTTTGATGCTATATGAATGATTTTGGTGGTATAAATGTAAAAAAAATAAAGTTAAGGTGTTAGATATTTAAACACATATGAATTGGATGGTCTGTATTTAAATGACCATATCTATAATCGTGTCAAGGTACATACAAGTTAATGCAACTACAGCTGCGCCATATCAAGTTTATCATCATCCAGATTCGTTGGTGAGGTGATCCATTGTCAAGTAACACTTGGATATCATATAAAAGAGCTTGTATGCATTGCCTATAAGCTACTTGAAAAAATATCAGGTCATTAATCAACGACACTGCTATCATGCCATATATTCAAGTATAGCAGAAATTAGTAGCTTTTGCATATAAATATTTATCTCCATAATAGTGAATATAGTTAATTGTTAGATAGAATTTATTAAAAAATAAGGGTTTTAGGGAGCTATGTCTAGGTGAGAAACTTGATTCCCATGTTTCCAAGTAAATCCCTCCTTCTCCCAAGCATTTTTGCAAGCCTCCTTCCTCCTCAAATTTGTGGCTAACCCTATCAACAACAGTACATGAATATAACTTCTATCTGGATAAGAATATTATCGAAATAACAAAGAACCAAACAGACCCTCAGATGGCAAAATGTTTTCTTTTTTGCTCGATTGTAACATTTAAAGCTTTGAATCCAACATTTTAGAAGTAACATACGAGGGAAGGTTTCCATCTGCCTGGTTATTACTGTTCTATGTCATATTGCTAATAGCAATCAGCTCAATATATTTGTAAAGTTAACACGAATTGGGAAAGGCTAATGATGACGAAAGCAATAATTCAATCATAGAACAAAGAAAGTAGTTTCAGCTTAACACAATCGGATCCATACCCCAAGCCACCGTGCACTCCTCGCTCGTAGCACTTGCTTGATTCGCCTGACACTCAATGCCTGCAAATTTCCATAAAATCAAGTCCACCAAAATCCATCCAGGAACAAAACCCGGAAAGGAACAGAATCACGAAAAAAAACAGAGCAGTCGAATTACTCACATAAATCCATGATGTGGTTCCTGCAGATCGCGCAGTTATCAACAACAATATCTGCAACCCCAGACACAAATCAATCCATCGATCAATCACGTGAGGAACCAAACAAAATAAAACCAAAATCCTAGAACCGAATGCAATGTCAAGAAACCGAAGCTAGGGCTTCAAGAAGGTTTTCATGATTGCGTACCCCACGCCCAGAGAGCGACGGCGTTCCACTTCTTGATCTCGAACCGCTTCGGTTTCTTAGACGACGATGGACCCGCGCCGCTCGATCCCTCCCCGACGGGCACCATGTTGATGTCTGTGTCTAATGTCGCCATCGGAGAGAGAGATTGGATGAAGATGATGAAGAAGCGAAGGGTAACGGGAGAAACGACTCCTTGTGGCTTGAGAATGGCGGCGACAGGCTTTACTTACACACTACTGAAAAAAAAAAGAAAAAAATATTAGGTCATGAGTCATGACGAACAGTGGGGCTAACGGGGCACAGGCAACCCCATAAATTTTAATAGTGACTAATCTTACTTTATTTTAGTGAGTTCACTTAACATGTGTCGCCTCATCATTAAACTCTAGACTCAAATTTAAGTTTGGAATCCGGATGTAATATTTACTCGAAAAAAAGGGCGTTTACATGTCATCAAAATTCCAAAGTATTGAAAATATCAAAATAACACATTAATCACTCAAATTTTAAATATAATATTTTAAATATTTAATAATTCTCACTCAAAACTTCATGAATTGATAAATAAGCATGGCTTAATTAAAACAAGAGATTAAATTATTAAATTTAAAACTTAAGTCAATATTTTTAAATGGTTTATATGTAAAAATCCCAAAAAAAATCTTTTATTTAATTATATATCTCACTTTTAAAATATTATGCTCTAATAATTTATATAAATGTCACCTAAACTCTTATATTACATATCTCAAACCCAAAATATGAGATTTTCTTAATTTTAATATTTTATTTCATTTTTTTTTGCACTAAATATAAAATTTATTAATCAAGCCTGAAAGATTACAAGGGGTTCTTGCCTACCTTCTAACATAAGGTAACCCTAGAGAATCCCCATTCAAAATGAATTTCAAAAAAGGAGGAGGACGAGTATCTACAATTAAGAGTTCCGTTAGAACCATTCTTGGCCAACCAATCCGCACATCTATTTCCCTGTCTATGAACATGTGTCCAGATCACCTTAATCTGATTGACGAGCTTGGAAAATCTCTGCTTAATGATAGTGATAGACCATGGAGTAGGAGAGTGACCATTAAGTACATTCACCAACAGAAGATAATCCATTTCAGAAATGATAAAGTTCGACTACATTTTAACAACAATCATCAGAGAAAATATCATTGCCCATGTTTCAGCCTCCAAAAAATGTGCAACGATATAAGGAACCTGAAAGAACAACTTGTGCTTACCCACATGATCTCTAAATATACCCATGCACCTATTATATTGCTACACCAACTGACATTCGTGTTGAATTTAGTCCTAGCATAAGAAGCTTTCTTCCACAATATGTTTTGGTGAATACCATCAGGGCCACTGAAATATTGTGTTTGCCGCTCCCCATACCTAGTTATCTTGGTCACAAAAGCATTCGCATTATGAACAAAAAACTTGGTCGGGATTAGCATCATGTTGTTCCATCCAATAAACCACATTACAAGAAAAGACATAATGTTGAGTAGATGCAAGTCATTTATATTATTTTGAGCCCAATTCTCCCTGTAATGCTCCGAGTCAGCAAATCTACCACTTGAACTACATTTTCAAAAAAACACTCCAACAATCTTCCAAACATGTACTGAATTAGGGTAATTGAAAAAAAGATGATTGATAATTTCTTCCTCCAATATACATAAGTTTAGTTTTGAAGGGAATTTCAAACATTTCAATTTAAAAATGACATTAAGAGGCAGTAGCTTATTAAACAATCTCTACTAAAAGAAAGACATAGATGGGGAGAGGCCACCCTTCCAAATAAGTTTACCACACAACACTTCAGGATATACAAAAAGCTTATTAGAGAAGATCTTAGCAATGGAACGGCTCTGGGTGCCTTTAATGATAACATTATCTTTTAATGAAGTATTGATGGAATATTACCAGTATAACTAGCAATATGTCATAACATTCAATTTATCCTGCAACCATGTATTACCATCTCAAAGATTATTCACCAGTAGAAGATTATCCCTATAACAATTAAGAATATTTAAATAAAGGGATCATCAAAACACCAGTTGTCCCACCAAAAGTTGACATTACCCTCCCCCATATCCCATACAAACTTGTCTTCAACATTGCTCCTTGCCTTTAGCATGCCTTTCCACACAATAAAATCACCGCACTTTAGAGAAATAAAGGAAGGATGAGTGGAAGAACAATACTTTTCTTTTATATGATATCCAAGTGTTATTTGACAGTGCTTCATATAGTTAATATGAGATAGATTGCTGAGATCTTAAAAACCCATACCCCTAGCTTCCACAAGTTTATACAATTTTCTCCAACTAGCCCAATGAATATTCTTGGATTCACCAGACCGCAGGAACTTGTTGAAGAGTTTCTCTAACTGAGCTTGAATTGATTTTGTCATTTTCAGCACCTGAAGTGTGCATAGAAGTAAAGAATTGAGAATACTTTTAGTCAAAGTGTTTTATCACCAATTGACATAAAGAAATTTGTCCAACAGTTAATTTGCTCACAAATTTTATCCACTACTTCTTGAAAATGAATGAATTTTTTTATACCTTTCGACAATTTGATGCTGAGATAATGTACATGCAGTTCAACATAATTGAAGCCATGAAATCCACCATCCAAAGCTTTAAGCTCAGGGAAATCTTCCTACCCACATAGAAGAAACATTTAGCTATGTTTAACTCCATACTCAAACTAAATACGAATTTTAGTAGGATGTCCCAGATCTTCTTAATAGATTGTCTCCTAGCATTGGAAAGTATAATCATAACATCTACATAGGCAAGGTGGGAGACATTTGTATTAGCTTTGTGAGTAAACCGAGTATAAGGAAGCAATAATTATACCTTATTTATAAGTCTTGAAAGATAATCAAAGGCTAACATAAAAAAAAAAAAACGTTAGTGATAATGTATCTCCTTGTTTGATACCTCTTTGAGTTATGAAGTAGCGACAACAATTCTCATTAATCAAAACCTTGCAATGATTACTGCTCAACCATCTCCCTAGGAGAGTGCAGAAGTCTTCATTGAATCCTCTAGCTTGGAAAACAAACAAGATAAAATTCAACTAAATGATGTCATATGTCTTCGTAATATCAAGTTTGACTATCATATTTCCATCCCTTTAGTTTTTGTCCAACTCAATGATAAGTTCCTAACATAATAGTATATTCTCAATGATGTTTCTCCCTTTGATAAAAGGCTGGTTGATTTACAGCGATAAGTTGAGGAAGATGAGATTGTAGCTTCTTCACAATAATTTTACTTATCACCTTAGATATAACAGAAGTAACACTTATGGGACGGAATTTATACCGACTATCTTTGTTTTGTGTCTTTGGAATGAGAGTAATAGTAGGAATGAAAATGAGACAATTGGGGGGCAATAAATATTTATTGGGGCATTTACAAACAAACCACCTAACTCTTATGCATTTACACATAAACCACCTAAATTTTGTTTTTTTACATATGTACTGCCTAAATCTTTGATATCATATAAAAAATACTACCATTTTAACTTTAAAAAAGTGGCACCTTTTTCATGCAGAGGGATTGGGCATGTTTGTAAATCTTTCATATTTAAAATAAATTACATTGTATTCTTATGCATTTACATATAAACCACCTAAATTTTATTTTTTTTACATATGTACCCCCTAAATCTTTCATATCATATAAAAAATACTATCACTTTAACTTTTAAAAAGTGGCACCTTTTTCCATGAACGGGGATTGGGCATGTCTGTAAATCTTTCATATTTAAAATAAATTACATTGTATATATTTGTCAATATAAAAAAATTGCTTGTAAGCGCTAAGGAGGTTGAAATGTAAAATAGCTTATAAAGTTTCGACCTAAACATTGGATCGAATATCTATTTTAGCTGAGGCTGAGTCTTACATAGAACGGCTCTAACTAATTTGAGTTCGGCTAAAAAATTTTTTATTTATAAAAATTATATATATAATGTAAAATAAAATCAAATATAATAACTCATGAGTCGATTTCAAGCTGAAACGTATCCAAATAACTAATTTTGAACCAACTCTTATAATTTTGAGCCAGATCGAGCCAATTTTAATTTAAAAGTAATCCAAATAATCCAATTTGACCCGGCTCTCTTAGATTTCGAGCTCGATTCAATTTCAAGTTGAACTAGATCGAAATATAATATAACGAGTCATGAGCCAATTTTAGGAGATAATATTTCGTCCGAATATCGCACATCTGGACGGCCAACCACCGAACGCCACGACTCCATAAACGTCACCAACGGGCGATGCACCTCCCAATGGTTGACTGTCTGTTCACGCGAACGTCCAAACAGAATATTTTTCCAATTTTAGGCTGCACTCAATTCATTCAAGTTGCCGAGCTAGATCATTAACAACGCTAATTATGAGATAATTATATACACAGCATTCAAAAGCATTTACAACGCAATATTTTCGAATGCTATGTATTTAACTGCCCCAAACAGTAAAAAAAATATGTAATTATTAAATATTGAAATATATTAAAACTGTTCATATTTAAAAACTAGAAATATTAAAAGAATTAAAACATGGTTGATTTTTTTATTTACTATTATAAATTTTATTAGATAAGGGTTAGATATATAAATACATAATTTTCCCTTTCTATTAACTTTTGAATCATCTAACAATATAGACAACTATACATATGGAAAAAACAAACATGGAATTTAGATAAACTCATCAATGTTCTCAAATTCAAAATTTTATGTTACAATACATAAATTTTATGTTACAATACATAAATTGCATGTTACAATACAGAAATTTCATTAGGGCTTTTGTGTAAAAATCAAGAACAATTAATGACTAAAATTGCCTATTCAATGAGCTCAAATGGAGGTTAGGAATAAGACCTCCTTTCTGTATCTAAAACAAATAAATAGGCAGAGAGGAAGAAGAAGAAGTAAGCAAAATGTTTGTTGCATACTATGAGGGGAGTGAAGGTGTTAGAAGACTAATCCATCTCAGAACTTGTATAAACGCCTCAACAGAAAAAACCCTAATCCTCCTGCAAGCAATAGAAATACTGGATTTCCAAAAGCATCAGTATCGGTCAATCGGCCGCGAGCATTATTAAGCTTGGTCAACTTTTCCTGAACAAGATTCGAGAGATTGTCTAATTGATGCATCATTTGACGTTGAGAACGAGCGATCGCGATGATCTGCGCATTAAATGAGAGTCATGACGTTATGATTGGGGCTATGAAAAAAGCTCTTTGTTCACAAAGAACTAGTTGTATTCGGCTTGTTAGATAGCTTTTCAATTCATTCATTAAGAAAGCGTGTTGAATACGTACAATTTACAAATGAACTGAGTACGTACAAATTTTTGTTCGATTGTGTTCGACTCATTTAGACTCTAGTTAATTGAGTAATTAAATAATTATATGATGTATTTAAAAAAATGTTAATATTTATTTATTTTAATCATTTAAGTTAATTCAGGGCCAAACAAGAGCTCTAAAGAACAAACAAAATGAAATCTTAACAACTGATGGATTAACTATGAATATACAATCATAGCTTTGAAATTTGCAAAAATTTTCATTGTTTTTCACTCAAAGATTCAAGTTTTAAGATTTTAGGAAAGAGAAAGAAAAGAAATGAGATATTAACAATTTATAGATTGACAACGAATCAAGAACTATATATTCCAAATTCTCAAAAATTTATTTCATTGTCTTTCACAATAAGGAAATTTGAAGGTTTATTTGGGCTTTAATTGGATTGAGGGAAAGTGGATAAAATGAAATAAAATCTTAACAATTAATGAGTTGACAATGACTTTACAACCATAAAATTAGGGTTTTCAAACCTTCTCTATAAGGAAAAAAGGAGATATGTTTCGGCTTCATTTGAATTGGAGAAAAGAATGGAGGAAGTGAAATGAAATATCAACAACCAAGGAATTAACCCGATTTTAAAACCATAAAGTTTAAGATATTCAAAACTTTTATGATTTCCGTTCACTCAGTTTCCTAGCATCCAAACACAAATTGAATAATAAAACGGATGAAAAGGGCATTTACATGTGTAACACGCATTCTTATGTATTTGCATATCTCACACCTAAACTTTCATATTTACACAACATTTTAGTACTTCAAATTTATGAATGAAAATGTATATTTTATTTTTAGAATGTGGCAATAGTAGTTCTACTATTGATATGATATTAAGAATTTGAGTGTTGTGTGTAAATATGAAAGTTCAGATGTGAGATATCTAAATAGATAAGAATAGTGTATTAGAAAGAAGATACCTCTTCCATTAGTGAAGACTCTTTATTAAGTTGATTGGAAGATGATGAATTGGGTATCAAGGAACCATTGCCCAAGCTGGACACAAATAAATTTTTTGGAGCAGCAGCACCATAACCTTCTCCTTGGAGAGAGAGATTTTGTTGGCTCATTGATGATTTCTGCACTGAAAACTTAGAATTCAACTCCTCGATCCGCGACGTAAACTCATCCATCCTTTCATTCAATGTTGATATTTGTTCTGAGAGTTGTTTGATCACTCCCTTTATCAGAACAAAGAAAAAAAAACAACTCAAATATGTGATGGAAAAAATATATATATTTTTAAGAAAAAACTTAAAAGGACACAAATATATATTTCTAAGAAAAAACTTGGTAATAATCATTTTAGGGGCATATACATATATACCACACAATTCTCATGTATTTATATATGCAACATCTAAACACTTAAATCTCCAACATTAAACCAAAAATATCACCATCTTTTTAGAAGTGAAATACACATTTTCAGCATAAGTTGATGACATCAAGGTGTTATAAATGTAAATATCAAACATATATACCACACAATTCTCATGTATTTACATATCTAACACCTTAACATTCATATTTACATGCCTATCGCTTGAATCTTTAACATAAAAAAAACACCCTTGCCATCTTTTTAAAAGCTAAACACACCTTTTCAGCATAGGATTATGACACCAAGGTGTAATAAATGTAAATATCAAACTCTGGGTATTGGATATGTGAATGCATAAGAATTGTGTGGATTCCCATCATTTTATTTGAGAGTTCGAAGATTTTGCAAACCTCTTTTACTCCAGGTGAATCAGGGCCACGGGCATCATATCTTTCGCCACCGACAGTAAGATTAGTTAGCTTACCAAGATGCTTGTCAGCTCGTGTCGAGTATGACTGTGATAAACCACTGCAACAAGGGAGCAATACTGAATTATGAGGAATACAATTCATGAATTAAGAACAACTTGATAAGAGAATCACAATTCATGCAAAAATTCCGGTCTTTCTAGTTTCATAAAAATATCCATCATAGAACTTTACTTTTTATGACATCCAACTTATCGTTTTAACGCCTTCCATTTATTAATAATTGGAATAATATGGTACTATGTTTCGAGCAATTATAAATGCATAGAATTTCCAATTACGCAACAATGACATCAAGTCGCAGAAGTAGCTACAAGCATACCTATTTTAGCCAACAAAAAAATATTCATCCAATTATATCCTCACATATCTCCCTATTATTATTAAAAAAAATAAACACATCTGCCTAGTATTTTATATAACAAAACCAAAAATCATAATTTATCCTGTTGTTTTGCATGCTAACTTACATCTTCACTGCTTGTACAAAACCAAACATATCTGCAGTATATGTTGTACAAATACAGATAAAATGAGCGTATTTTCTACCATCTTAGTCACTGAACCATCTATTTGATATAGATTTTTCTAGACCATATTTCCTAATTTTACAACATATCCTTCATTAAGATTTTTGCTACAATTATTGTCAATAAGCGTAAATTACCTTGTTAACCAACCATTTATCATACTCAATGAAATTATAATTTACAGCTACACATTAAATCTCTGTGATATCCTCTATCTCATAATATCCATGAGTATCTCTATCTTAAAAGATCTCAGAATTGATTATGGAAAATACTTAATTTTTCAAATCCAATATTTATTATAATAAATCAATCATCCTAATCATAATTAGCCTTATCCCGACAATTTGCGATTAGATAATGAATATTACATTTGGATTCATTTGATAAAATTTGACATACATCTTAAAATTATTTATCAGCATAATATCAGTAGTTGGTTCCTTTTGGCATAGGAACCAAAAGGTGGGCGCTTGTGTAATAAATCAAATGTATTGCAAATGATGTAATCAATGGATATTCTAATAATCCTAATTTCATAAATTTCTTTTTTTTTTTAACCTGTTGTTCTAAAGCCTATGGTAAAAGAGAACTCTCCTAACAAAATTATGCCATTCCAACCTAAGTTATACCAAAATATCTAAATTTAAATACTCTTTCGTAAGCCTTTTCATAACTAATACAAAACCATAAAAACTTAGAACTAACAATTAATACAATCCAATTTAGTTTGGAAGCTCTTTATTAACTGAATGCATCATTCTAATATTAGTCACTACTAAATCATTTCTTCAAAAATTTCAATTTACATTTGATACACATTTTCTTTTTTATGTCAACAAAATAAATAATTATAGTAATCATATAGCTTTCTAATGTACATAATAATAAATTGAGGGTTCCAGATACAGCGAAATAAAAATAAAAAAGAGAAAAAAAAATGAAGTGATCCCAAATGGCCCCTAAGTTATTAACGTTAAAATGAAAAGAAGCTGTTGATGCCCAAATTAATACGAAATATACTTGAATAATGAGATTAAACAAAAAATGATAATGAAATAAAAATATCATAGAAAATGAATACATTAACAAATAAAAGCTAATCACCTGAGATGCTTGCTTTTCATGGCAGCCCTATCACCCATGGATCGAGAAAGTGCTTCTCTTGGGCTTAATACCAAATCATCATCTATGCTAAGCTTCGTCTTCAAATCATCCGGAACAGCCTAAAAACAAAGATTCAAGTTGCAAAATTCTCTTAGTAAATACATCAGCAAGATGTAAATATGAAATTGATGAGAAAATTTTCATACCATCACGTCGTTGACGAGTTTCTCAAGCTGAATTTGCTCTATGTATGTACGAGGAATATACGAACCTTCCAATCCCAATTGGTCAGCAACACATTTAACAACTACTCGGTCTCTTCCTTGCACCTTAAAGAATTGGAGATGGTATCAATTAAGTTTATTTTTTAAAAATTTACATACAATACCACTCAATTTCCTATGTATTTACAATATCTAGCGCCTAAACTTCACTATTTACATATATACCATGTTTCCTATGCATGAAAAGGTGTATTCACTTTTTAAAAGTTAAATAAGTGGTATTTTTTGTGATATGAAAGATTTGGGTGCTATAAATTTAAAAAATAAAGGTTGGATATGTAAATACTTAGGAATTTGGTAGTATGTATGCAAATGCACCTTAATTTGTAACAAACTAAATTACTAGGACATAACCAGAAAAAATGAAATCAATAAATATGCAAAGGCACCGCATGAATAATTGGTCAAAGTGCAAGACAATGTGTGAATATTCTTTACAGAAGCAATGCTGTGCTAAAAGAAAGGATGCCATTACGCTCAATTGACTCACCATCAGCATAATCCACAACAACAAGATCAGCAGCCTTATCCCATAAATTTAACCGAGGCTTTATAAATTTATAATCAGTAATTCTCATTAATAACTCTTGATGTTGATTCTTCTTTCATCACTGTTTTGAACAGCTAAATTTCATAGTAGTTTTTGTTATATTATGTAAAATGAGATTATTACAATATTATATTTGGGAATCTTAGTGCCCACCAAATCAGGGCTTTGGGGCACTATATCACACATTTCCATAATGCAAGAAAACCATTTCAAAATTGAAAATTTTATGCACATCACTCCATTCTTATGTATTTACATATATGACACCTAAACCTCAATTTTTACATCACACCGCCTTACCTATGCATGAGAATGTGTATTTCACCTTTTAAAAGTTAATATGGTGGTATTTTTTATGCGAAATGTAAGATTTGGGTGGTAGAAATGTAAAGTTTAGGTGAGGAACTGTGTGGTATGTATGTAAACGCCCCAAGCCCAAATGGTAAAAAACACATTTCAACTATAACAAAATAGCAGAAAACCCAATCAACCCAAGAATACATAATAAGATCAAACAATGAATTTTCATATCACCATCGTATCGAATTTGTGATAACAACCACTATAAGAATGGATAACAATTTTCTCCAACCATGTTTTTCTCACTAAATTTAATGCACTTTAACACAAATAGTAGCCAAAGAAAGCTATAAGTTGACTCCAAAAATGTTATAAAATTCTCTTTATAAAAATCAAAAGAAATCATACTATTAATTTATTGTTGCTCATCCATAAAGCAGTTAATATAATAATATATTCAATTTTAATAAATCATAACAACTATAAATCAAGGATTAAAACATTATGTTTGGTTAAAATATGTTGGCAAATTCTATGAGTTGTACACATTGCTTGCAATAAGTTGGATTTTACAAAGGGCATGAAATGAAAGTATCCTACTCCACACAAACCATCAGTATTGGAAATCTCCCACTCGGGGAGCCTATCTGAGGACACGCCTATGAACAACTATACCACCAAACAATTTCCTGTATGCATTTTGTTTCATTTTTGGAAAATTTACATACGTAACCACATAATTCTTATGTGCTTACATATCTAACACTAAAAATATTTATATTTATAGCACTTTGGCGTTATAAACCTATGCATGAAGAGGTGTATTTCACTTTTAAAAAGAGTAATTGTGGAAATTTTTATGTGATGTTAAGGATTTGAGCAGTATGAATATAAATATCAAAGTTTAGGTGTCATATATGTAAATATATAAGAATTGTGTGATATGTATGTAAATATTCCTTCATTTTTTATTACTTTCTGATAAACATCCATGGAGGCCCACCAAAGATAAGATTTAAATATGAATAATGTCATTCTAACACTGTGAAGCAGTAAATAATTATAGGATGGTGAATTGACGTACTTCCATGTTCCTAAAAGTTAAATAGGCCACACACATTATATGGTTGCATACAACTATTAATCACAATATTTTGTTAGCTATATTTGTTTGCGTTTAAAGGTAGGGATCATTCATATTTATACTAGGCAAGCTATGCTGTTCGATTAAAAATTCATTAGCTAAAATGGTAGGAGTAGAATATTGGAGCATTTACAACATACCACCCAATTCCTTTGTATTTATATCTCTATCATCTAAAGTACTTTTTACATTTATACCACCCAAATCTTTTATATCACAGTAAAAATACCACTATTTTAACTTCTAAAAAGTGAATATACTTTTTCATGCATAGGTAAGGTGACATGTAAGTAAAAAGTAAAGTTTAGGTGTTAGATATGAAAATACATAGGAATTGAGTGGTATGTACGCAAATCTTCCAAGAATATTCTATATCAAATTCAGTATTTGGTCCTTTCAAATAAAAGAGCGTTCCCGCTCTATGTTCTTAAAAATATGAGTTTTACATGAAACATAAGAATGATTATAGACTAATAAAAACAGTTAGCTACTCAATTATCTATGAAAAAGTTGCCTTAACGCAATAAAGTGCAATTGCGGGAAGATAGATTTGTAAAAGGCTGATAATTACCTGAATATAACTTCGATTCAATTGTTCCAACCAATCGATTTTTACGGTCACTCTGTCGTCGGAGAATACGTGGCTGCTTCTTTTTAAAATAGCAGCAATACTATAGCCCAAAGCCATCAACCCTCCGAGAAGCCGCACGCTAACTTCAAAAGTAATCCGCGGTGATATAATGAAGGGGCTATCTGTAACCCATTCCTGCAAATTAAAAAAAAAACAAAAACAGAATTCAAAATGAATTTTAGAAAAAAAAATAAATAAATAATTGCAACATAACAGAATCATCAAATCACAAACAAAAGACAATACTTCTACCAAAATTAATGCTTCTGGCGTGTGACAGTAACTATAAAACTTGAATCTTTCATCTGAAGAAGCAAAGCTACCCTTATAAACTATAGTTAAAAAAACTGTTCGAATTTTTTTTTTTCTTTGGATGATTCATGGCACTGTTTTATATGAATACGTTAGCTAATCAACAATCGGCATAAAAATTTTGTAGAAAAACTAATATGAACTTGAAATATATGTACTCTCATAGGTAAATTAATGAAATTAATAATTTTATGATTCAAAAGAATATAAATATCTTATGTATTCAAAAAACTAAATGGATTTGAGAAAATGTCAAGAAGATTGATAGTTTAGATTTCAAACTTTAGCATTCAGGTAGGAATAGTACTAGAAATTGTGTAACTGTAATTATAAATAAGAGTTTGAAAAATAATTTTGTAAAAACTAGTATAATTGAATATAGAATTATAACTCTAAAGATTAATGTTGACACAAAGATTTTTAATATTATAAGTGTTTGTGCATAAGTAGATTCAGATAAATATTAAAAAAAAAAATGGAATGACCTAGAAAAATTAATACAAATGATACATCTTGCATAAAAAAAATTATTAGATGAGACTTTAATTGACATATTTGTAGAATAATAGAAGATTTTAGAAGAATTCATAGTAACTATAATTTTGAAGTGACTAATGAATAAGAAAGAACAATATAGAGTTTTGATTTAGCTTATGATCTTGTTATTATGAATATTTTATTTTAAAAAAGAGATGAGCATATTATCACTTATAAAAAAGAATCTAATAAATTAAAAATTTATTATTTTCTTATTATAAAAAAAAATCATCGAGATTGTAATGACTGTAAGGTCATTCCAAGTAAAAAATTTAAGTACCCAATGTCGGTTATTGGTTTTGGATTTTAAGATTAAGAATTAGAAGATGAAAAATACAACAAAATATTATCATAGAATTAGAAGGGGACACTTAAAAAATAGAGATAAAAATATTTTTATGAGTAAACTTCAAGATCTTAAGATTTAGGATATTCATGAAAAAGCTAATATTATGTGTGAGAAAGTAACGAGTATTATTAAGTAAGTTGCAAAAGATATGCATGAAGAATCATAAGAAAAAGTTCTTATAAATAAAAATAATTTGTGGTAGAATAATAATGTGCGAGAAAAAAAAAATAGATGTTATAAAATTGGTTTGAATATAAGAACTTGGAGAATTTGAGAAAATATAAGGTGGCCCATAGAGAGTCTGAGAGCAATTTTTTATGCTAAAAATTTAACTTTTTTATGATCACTATAATAAATTAAATACTAAAGAGGATGAAAATGTATGTATAAATTAGCCAAATAAAGAGATAGGAAAGGTAAAATTAATTTTAAATAAAGTGTATTTAAGATAAAAATTTAAAAAAATAATAATTTTTGTAGATGAAGAAATTCAACATAAATGAGTAAGATATTTTGATAAACTTTTAAATGAAGATTAAAAAATTATGATCAATTTTAGTGATAATTTTTTTATTTCCACCGTTGCATTAGTGAAAGAGAGTTGAGAAAGCTTTGACAAAAATAAAATATGAAAAAGTAGAAGGATATGATGGTATTCAAGTAGACGTGTGAAAATGCTTTAAAAGATCTAAGAATTTCGTGGCCTACCAAATTTTTGAATATTCTTCTTAAGATGATGTATTGAGAAAGAGACTATTGATTTCTCTTTTTAAGAATAAAGAGAGTGCACGAGAGTGTGCAAAATTATAAAGGAATTAAGTTAATGTGGCATATATTAAAGTTATGAGTTGAATGTAGGTTACGATGTGATACGATAACTTCTTAAAACTAGTTTAGATTCATGTCGAGCAAGTCTACTATGAAAGTTATAAATTTATTGGGAGGTTTGATGAAAAAGTGTAGAGACGGTAGGAAGATTTACATAAGAATTTTGTTGATTTATAAAAAGCTTATGATAAAGTTCCAAGACAAATACTTTGAAGATTTCTAGAAAAGAATAATGTAGATATTCCTTATATTCAATTCATTAAAGATATGTATGCTAGAGTTGGTTGTGTTTGAACACAAAGAATTGACCAAGTATTTTCCTATATCAGTTAGATTACATTCGAGATCAACTTTAAGCCCATATCTAGTTCCAATACTCATTGTCGGGTTCCAAGCCCCGAATGCGAAAAGTGGAGAGTTGCGTTAGGTAGTCGACAACTAACGTAAAATTTGTTAAAAAATCACATGAATCATTGTGATCATCGTGTATATATTAGGGCATCCCCTAGAAGCGACGTGTTATATGCCCTCAATACAGTGAAAAGCATGCAATGGTCGCTGCACTGACGCTCGGATGTAGTGTCAAATAAGCAAATGTTCCCACATTACGGACGAATGCGGGAAAATAAGTTAATTCATGAAACTATTAGGATATGATCTTTGAATATAGGTACTCCCATAGATAAATTAATGGAATCAGTTGATATTATGAGTCATAGAAAGATAAATATCTGATGTATTTAAGAAACTAAATATGTTGAAGAAAAAACTAAGCAGATTGATGACATAGGTTTTAAACTTTGGCATTCAAGTAAGAGTTGCACTAGAGATGGTCTAAGTGTAATTATAAATAAGAGTTTGAAAGATAATGTTATAAAAATTAATAAAATTGAAGATATAATTATAGCCCTTCAGATTATTGTTGATACTAAAATTTTTAATATTATAAGTGTTTATGCTCTTCAAGTAGGATTAAATATAGTTTCTAAGGAAAAAGTTTAGAATGACCTAGAACACTAATACAAATGAAACCTCTTGAAGAAACAATTTTTATTGGAGGATATTTAAATAAACAAATTAATAGAATGATAGAAGATTTTAGAAATATTCATGGTGACTACGATTTGGGAGTGATTAATGAAGAAGATAGTGTCATATTAGATTTTGCTTTCGCGTACGATTTTATTATTGCTAATATTTTATTCAAGAAAAAGGATTAGCATATTATTACTTATAAGAATAGATCCAATAAAACACAAATTGATAATTTTATTATAAGAAGAAGAGATCGTCGAGAATGTAAAGATTGTAAGGTCATTTCAAGTGAAAATTTAAGTACTTAACATCGATTATTAGTTGTATATTTTAAGAGAAAGAGTTGAAAAATAAAGAATACTAAGAATCATTGTCGTAGAATTAGATAGGGGCAACTAAAAACATACATAAAATTATTTTTATTAGTAAACTTCAAGATTTCAAGATTTGGGATGTTCATTAAGAAACAAATTCTATGTGCGATAAAGTAACAAACAATATTAAACAAGTAGCAAAAAATGTACTTAATGAATCAAAAGAAAAAGTCTAAATAAAAATAATTGGTTCTGAAATAATAATATGCAAGAAAAGATAAAATATAAGAAGTTATGTTATAAAAATTGATTTAAATGTAAAAGCTTAAAGAAATAAGAAAAATATAAAATGTCCCGTAAAACAATCTGTTACGCTAAAAATTTTGTTTTTAGTGGTTTTTATAATAAATTAGATATTAAAGAGAGTGAAAAATAAATGTATAAACTAGTCAAACAAAGAGAAAATAAAAGTAAAGGTTTACCTTAAGTTAGATGTATTAAAGATGAAAATCAAAAAGTTTTCCTTAGAAAAATATATTCAACATAGGTGGATGAGTTATTTTGATAAACTTTTTAATGAAGTTTCTGAAAATACGATCGACCTTAGTGATTTTAATATCGTTGTTAATAATAAAATATTTCATTTTTATCATCGCATTACATTTATCTCCTTTGTTTTGTGAGAAATTGAGGAGGCTTTGAAGAAAACCAAGAGTGGAAAGTCTGTGAGACCTGTTGAAATCCCGATTGAAGTGTGAAAATATATAGAAGATTTGAGAGTTTCTTGGCTTACTAAACTCTTTAATATTATTTTAAAAACTAAAAAGATGTTTGAATAGTGGAAGAAGAGTGTTTTGGTCCCCTTTTTTAAGAATAAATGGGATACACAAGAGTGTAAATTATAAAAGAATTAAGTTGATGTGTTATACTTTAAAATTATGGAAGAAGGTAATTGAAGATGGAGTACAAAGATATTTTATAATCAATTTGGATTTATGTCGGGCAGGTCTACTTTAGAAGCTATATAATGCTGTCAAAACAGCTCGTTGTTTGTGAACAGCTCGTGTTTGACTCGTTATGTATTTTTATTTTTCAAAAGGAAATCGGTATTTGGCAGAGGCCCAAATACCGATTTCTTATGCGCTAGACCCCATGATGAGAGCCCGCGTCATGTGCCTAAATATTCGAGAACCTAGTGTTATTGGGATTAAAACCGTGACTTGAGGGGACTTACAGTGAACCCCGCCAAACAACAGGCCACGGCTTGCGGCACTAACTCGTTATGTATGTATGTGTGTGTGTGTGTGTGCGTGTGTGTGTGTGTGTCTATATTGATTGATGAGTAATATTTTTAAAAAATTTAATTAACTACAATGCTACAAAGATTTATAATCAATTAAAAGTATGAATTAAGAAAATAGAATAAAAATTATTAAATTAGATTCAAATAATGTTTTAATATAAATAATAATTTTTAAATCTTGCCCCAATCTTTAATATTGTATGGCTACGTGATTAGGGTTGTCAAAACGACTCTTTATTCGTGAACGGCTCGTGTTCTGCTCGCTTAGCAATGCTCGCTTAGCAAACGAGTTGAACACGAAAACACTTTTTGAGCTCGAAATATAAACGAGACGAACACGAGCGAGAGCCTGGGCTTGCTCTTGTTCGGCTCGTTTACACCTCTAAAGCTATACATTTATTGAGGTTCGATGGAAAAGTTCAGACATAATAAGGAGGATCTACATATGATTTATATT